CAATAACTCCTCACTGTTATATATACATACATTACATTCAAATAATAATTCCAATTAAAGTTACTTAGTTGGCATATACTTTAATTCCAATTAACGTTATACATGACTAAATAGGGGAGTTAATAGGGGTAGTTTAGGAAGATGTCAACAGAAATAATTTATAGATTTCCTCTAAAAGGATTTACTTTGTTTTTTTTTCTAATAAAAAAAATATGTTCCAAATTAATTGCCTATTATTAAACGTTACATTCTAATTTGTTTTTTCTGTTTTAAAAAATATTCTGTAAGTTAGTATGCTTTTCAGTTTTCATCTTCTAAATTAATTATTTTAAATTGTAACTAATATGCTTTTTATTGTGATTACGGTTACAAATTTAATAGTAAACCCTTTGAATTTCAGTTATATGATTCTTTTACCCTCTCTTTTGGCCTATATAAAGTCATTTTATTTTATTTGTTTAGTGTTGAAAGGATGAGCAATGGGGATATGACGGCTGACAAATTTCTTACAAAGCAAATGATCCGATTTGTTATGGTGGCTCAAGATTTAGACAATAAAAGAGGTTGGTATAGATTTTGTATTTAAATGAAATTGTATATATGCTTGATATTCTTATCTCCTTTTGAATTCTTTTAGATTAATATTTTGTTAGAATTAGTGTTTAATTTCATTAAATTATGTTATTAGAGACTAGAATTTGATGGATATGTATACAAATTTATTGTTATACTATCAGGTTCAAACTAAGGATGACTTCATTTTGAAGGAGGAAAAAAAAAGAGTTGCACGAAATACCAAGGTCTATATTAACTATTTTTTAACTATTTTCTTTCCTTATTTCTCTTGAGTTTATATTTTTTAATAATATTTATTATATATCCACTTATAATTTTTTTTTATTTGTAATTGGTTTTCTCTTGGTTGAAGTTGGAGATAATTCATGTGAAAGATTTCATAAATGGAGTAGTAGCAATTAGCCTATCACTATTATCAACGTCGTCTTTGTATGTGAATCACAAAAGCTGCATTTTAGAAAGTGAGCAAGTGTTAGAATCATAACAAGAAATTACCATTAATTTGCAATGTAAATATTTTTATTTATAATTGTGAATTTTTCATTCGTTGAAAACAATTTCAAGACCTTTTTAATTACTAATTCACAAAGGTGTTGTAGCCTCTTCATCAATCTTCTTTTGTCTTAGTATCAACAAAGGTTAGACTTTCATGTCCTTGGATTTGGCTTTGAGTTATTTTTTAACCAGAACTGGATGTGAGTATTTGACCAACACCAAATTGATTTGGCACATTATATATTCAAAGTACAAAGTTGATTTACCTTTTTTACATTAATCAAACAACAAGAACTTTAGCTAAAAATAAGGCTAGAAGAATTGCAACACTACTATTGCAATAATCCACTTATCTTCTTTTTCTCTTTTCAGTTATTTACTTCTTAATCATGAGGAGGAAGACCCAGCTGTTGGAAAAACCTATAGAACACTGGTTTATGATCGAGAAAGACTTGGGAAATATTGATGAGTATTTGAGGGGAAAAATAACTTTTCAATGTTATTGCTTTATAGGTTAATTAGTAAATGAGTGGGAAGTTTAAAGATTTGGGCGTTTTGACAATTTATCTCAAGTTCATAATCAAACGAGTTTTTAATCTTTTTTTTTATCATTAGTTAATTTTTCCATGTATTTTTTTTTGGATTTTTTCTTTCAGTTTTATAAAGATTTACTACAATATTGTATATATACTTTTGTTTACTTAGTTGGAATATATAAACCTCGCTTCATCCTTTTTTTAGTTCTTTCTTTCTTTCTTTCTTCTATGTATATTTTACTCATTTTCAGGAGAGTTAATAGGAGTAATTAAGTGTCCTCTTTATGAAATTTTGTTAATCTCCCTATGAAATATTGATAACCCTCTTATGAAATTTTGAAAACCAAACTATGAAATTGTTGGCCCTAATATCCAAATTGGGTCTAAACCTTTCCAAATTTACTCAATTTGAGCATAAACCTTTAAATATGACCAAATTGGGCCTAAACGTTAGCAAATTGCACAAATTTGGGCCTATTTTGGACGGAAATTTGGAATTTTTGTAATGACACGTGCGTTTCACTGCCACAATTTCATCCAAAATAGATCCAATTTGGTGTAATTTGCTAACGTTTAGGCCCAATTTGGTCATGTTTATTGGTTTAAACTCAAATTAAGCAAGTTTTGAATGGTTTAGACCCAATTTGGACATTAGGCCATGAAATTTTGATAACCTTCATATGAAATTTTGATATCCTCCCTAAAATTTTGATTACTCCATAATAAAAATTTAATAACCTTCCTAATTTGGTAATTATACTATGAAATTTTGATAACCTCCCCAAAAATACCACTATGAAAATTTGGTAATGATATTTTGAAAATTTGATAATCTCTTTATGAAATTTTGATAACCTCTCTATAAAATTTTGTTGACCCCTCTGAAATTTTGATAATCACATTGTGTAATTTTGATAACCTTGATTTGATATTTTGATAACAACACTATGAAATTTCGATAATCTTCTTATAAATTTTGATAATATGATCTCTATGAAATTCTGATAATCACTATATGAGATTTGATTACCTTCTATCAAATTTTGATACTCCTTATAAAATTGAGACTTTTATAACCTTCGTATGAAAATTTGATAACCACAATAAAAAATTTTGATAACCACACTGAAATTTCAATAACCTTCCTTAAAAATTTTAATAAGCCGATTCTATGAAATTTTGGTAACCACGCTATGGAATTTTGATAATCTCCTCATGAAATTATAATAATCATATTATGAAATTTTGATAACCACGAAGAGACGAGAAAATCAAAACCATAATATCACCTACTCTTCTAACTCAACAATTTCCAATTGAACAAAGTAAATATGGCAAATTATTATATAACAAAAAGATGGAGTTTCACTAACAATAGTATTGTACGTGTTAGTGTTAGTTTATTGACATTTAAAAAATTGAAATTAGAAGTAAAATATTAAATTCAAAAATAATAGTAAAGGAAATTTGCATATTTATCAATGAAAATCAATCTAACAAACTTATAACTCGGTCCAAATTGAAATTCTTAATTAATTTTTAAATAATAATTAGAAGTGTACTAAATTTTACTAATGAAAATTTAGAAATATATTTGAAAAAAGGGGTACAATCAGAAAATATAAAGTTTCATTTATTCGTAGAAATTTGCATGTTTATCAATGAAAATCAATTTTACAAACTTATAATTCGGTCTAAATTGAAATTTTGTGATTAAATTTTAAATAATAAATTTTAATATTGTCAATTTAGAAATATATTTGAAAAAAGGTTACAAAAACATAAATTTTTCCATTATTCGTACTTTTATATATAGTATAGAGTAATTATTAAAAAAAACACTATTATAATCCCTTGTATGGTTTTGGATTTGAAGCATATTTCATCAATTCAAACGTAAATATACAACTTATGGATATTGAATTGTAAATAACTTAACTTTTTCATTGCAACAAACAAGAGTAAGATGGCTCATAGTTTTTAGCTTCAAAAACAAATTCGAAGGAATTGATTTAGCTCTTGAACTAAAGACAATCAAGCCTTGTACACAATTTCTCAAATAATAGAAGTACAAATTAGTTTGAAATTTGTATGTAAAAATTAAAATATTTACGTAAGATTAAACGATATAGTATTGATTTTCTTTTAAGTAGTGAGTGGATAGAGTTATAGCAATCAATTTCGTTCTCTTCTTATTAACGAAAAATTGTATAAATTCTTCTCCAGACTCAAAAAAAAAATTTCTTATATTTAGAAAAATAATAGAATAATTAAAATATTATTTAGTAATGGCAATTTAGAAACATGTTTTTTTTTTTTTAAAAAAAAAGGCATAATTGGAAATATATTTTTAAAATAAGGGTACAATTGGAAAATAAAAAAGTTTCCCTTATTCATACTTTTATATATAGTATAGATTAATGAAACATTTAATTGTAATCATTATTATATAAATTTTATTATATTCATATATATAATAGTTTTATTTAAAATTAAAAAGAAATATGTTTTTTCTAAACAATAAAATATTTTATTTCATAAATTATTATTTAATCAAATTATTTCGGATTCGGATTCTGATTGATTTTGCCAGCTCTAAAGACCACTTCGGCTGCTGCTAATTCCTGTAACACAAGCACTAACACAAGCTGCACTACCCTATTTATTAGTAGAAATATATAATAACGCTACCCCTCCTCGCGGTTTCAATTTTTTTTCACCAGTCACCACGGTTTTATATTGCGAATCTTTTTGGCATGGATGTCAACATTTTAAAAAAGTATATAATGAAAGTTAAGTGATAATAAAACCGGAAATAATTCACCTTAATTAATTCAATGGTAAATATACTATAATGAAGCATATATCCCACAGTCTTGTTCATGAGAGATGACTTGGTGTTTAATTACAATATAAATTACTTGTCCCTAAGCGACACCTTAGTGGTTAAAATTTGGGACTTCTCGTAGGAGGTCTCAGATTCGAATTCTTGGATGGGAAGGGTGAGATTATGGGAAAGGATATGGCTATTTCTTATTGTATAGTCCATTTAATTAAATATCATGTTCATGTGTAGCAAAAAATAATACAAATCACTTTCTTTTTTTTTTAGAACAATATCATTCATTTAATTGAAATCAGGATTACAAACGCTAGGAGGTAAACTCCCGCACCGCACAAAATCAACACTAATTTGTGCCAATCTATGTGCTAACATATTAGCTTCTCTATGAACATGTACAATCTTGCAAAAATCAAATAAAGAAACTAAGTCCCTAATTTCATAAATTAAGCAACCACCCTTCCACCACACAGGTGATGACTTAACTATCTCCGAGACTGCAACTAAACAATCACTCTCTATAAAGCACCTCTCCACCCCATATTCTAAGGCTAATTCAAAACCAAATAAGATAGCGTGAACCTCACATATAAAGAAGACACAAAATATAACCTTCTTGTGGCACTAACAATAATTTCTCCTTTATCATCTCTAATCACCACTCCAAGGCCTGCTTGATTCGTGATAGAACAATACGAGGCATCAGTATTAATTTTCACACAACCATTTGGTGGTAGCTTCCATTGAGTAACTCGGGTACGCAATTCTGCTAAGTGGCATTCATTTTGTACCAATGTCGATGCCTGTGAATGCATTTTGGAGGCTAAGAACGAGACTGTAGTTGGTGTAGCACAAAAGCCAGAATGCAAGGCGTTATTTCGATTCTGCCAAATTGCCCAAAGCTGTATAAGAACCAATTCCAATTGTCCCACCGCAGCAGCTTTGAACACAATCCGGATCCAAAAATCCTCCGCCTCCGCCCAATCTTCGACACAATTACACATCCACGGGGCAACAAGATCCCAAACTCGAATACTTAACGGACATCGAAGAAAAGTATGCTGACTTGATTCCTCATGTAAGCCACAGACCACACACAAATTGTCAATATCCAAGCCCCTCCGTTGTAAATTGATCTTTACAGGCAATAAATCACAAACTAACGCCAAATAAAATACCTCATTTTCGGTGGGGTAGTGGAGTTCCAAATTAGCTTCCAAAATCGCCTTTGTTCTTCCTCCTGATTGACCTCAATACCAGAAGTTTCCTAGCTTCAAAATAAGCTGATTTCACCGAAAAGGTACCTAATGGAGAAGCATTCCAGATAAGAACAACCGGCCTTGGTTGTCTTGGAATAGGTAGACATAGGATCCGACTTATGTCATCATCATCCACCATCTCAGTAAGTTTATCAATATGCCATTGCCTTGATTCAAAATCTATGAAACTCGAAACTCTCATAGGTTTCGGAATCAGACCTTCCCTTGGCGTTGGATTCAAACTAGTGGAACCAATTAACCAATTTCCTTGCCAAAAGTCGACATCACCACTGCCTATTCGCCATCTCGAACCAGCAATTACCACCTTCCGACCATCAAGCAAACTCCTCCAAATAAAAGACGGGTTATGCCCAAGTGAAGCTGTTAAGAAGTCCCCTCTTGGAAAATATTTCGCCTTTAATAAACGATAACACAAAGAAGTCGAATTATGTAGTAATCTCCAGCATTGCTTTACTAATAAGGCTAAGTTAAAGGATTCAAAATCATGAAAACCAAGCCCGCCATCCAGCTTTGACACACAGAGATCTTCCCAAGCCCTCCAATGGATCTTCCTCTGGTCATTAGTCCCACCCCACCAATATCGTGCCATAATCATATTTAATTCATGAATAAATCCTCTGGGGAAACGAAACACACTCATCAAGTACACTGGTATAGATTGTGCCACTGACTGGATCATTATTGCCTTTCCTGCGATGGAAAACAGCTTGTTTTGCCAAGCCTCAACACGCTTAGACAATCTTTCTTTAATATACTGAAACTCCATTCTCTTGTTTTTCCCTACCATTATAGGCAACCCAAGATACTTGTCTCTATCCAAGATCCGCTGCACCCCTAACTTGCTCATAATGGCCATACGAACTGTATCAGGAGTATTTTTGCTAAACAAAACGACGGACTTATCAATATTCACTTGTTGTCCCGAAGCTTTCTCAAAGCTCTCAAGAATTTCCAAAACCGCTGTACAATCCTCCAAACAGGCCCAAAGAAACAGAAGACTGTCATCCGTAAAAAAGAGATGCGAAATCCGCGGGGCAGTACGATTAATAGCTACACCATGAATAACATTACTATTATCAGCCTGTGTTAGCAAACAAGACAAAGCCTCCATACAGAACAAAAATAGATATGGAGAGAGGGGATCTCCCTGCCTTATACCTCGTGTTGGATTAACTATACCACACTGCTTCCCATTAATTAGAATTGAATAAGAAACAGACCGAACACAAGCCATAATAAGATTAACCCATCGATCAGAAAATCCCAGTTTGCTCATACAACTCTCAAGAAAATTTCACTCCACCCTATCATACGCCTTACTCAGATCAAGTTTAAGAGCCATGTGTACTCTTTTACCAGTCCGTTTGTTGCTCATAAAATGAATAGTCTCAAAAGCTATTAAGGCATTGTCATATATCATCCTATCTGGCACAAAAACACTTAGGCTTTCCCCAATAATATTAGGCAAAACTACCTTTAGACGATTGGCAATAGCTTTGGATATAATCTTGAAAATTACATTACAAAGAACTATTGGCCTATAATCTTTCATAGTCTTGGGGTTATTGTTCTTGGCTATCAAGACAATATTCGTATGATTCACATCAGGCAAATTACCACCATTATTTAAAAAATCCAATGCAAAAGCTACTACATCCTTACCCACAATATGCCAACATTTGTGATAGAAGGATGGGGGAAAGCCATCCGGTCCCGGGGCTTTATCCGCTTCCAGTTGAAACACTGCATCCTTAATTTCCTCGCTCGTAAAAGGAGCATCCAGAGAGCATCGCATATCTGCATCTACTCGAGTGGGAACATGGCTTATAACCGGATTCAATGCTGCCATCGTTGGAGTAGTTGAAGTAAACATGTCCTGATAGTAATTACACACAATTTCCTCGACATCTTTCACCTCTGTCCTCCACATACAATTAAAATCTTCAATACCCAAAATGACATTCTTCTTTCTCCTCGCATTAGCAACAGAATGAAAATATTTCGTATTACGATCTCCCTCCCTTAACCAAAGAGCTTTCGAACGTTGACGCCACATGACTTCCTCCTGATGAAGTAAGCCATCCATCTCAAATTGACATTCCTCCATACGATCCGGATCAGATTGTTCTCTATACAAAGCAACCAACTCCTTCCTCTTTGATTCCAAATTGAACCTAATATTGCCAAAAATCCGTTTATTCCAATCATCTAACACCCGACTGCAATTCCATATTTTATCAACAATGGCATTTGTACTATTTGAAAACCATGAGTCACGAACAACTCGATCAAAATCCTTGTGGCCAGTCCACATTTTTTCAAATTTAAAATTCCTTTGCCTATTCGTAAATATCCCCTGCTGCTCCTTAATTGAAATTAATAGGGGCAGATGATCCGAAACTGTAGTGACTAAATGCTTTTCAATTGAGTGCCGGAACCGATCCCACCAAGCTCTAGTGACCAAAACGCGATCTAGTCTTTCAAAAATCCACTCACCATTTATCTTCTTATGCCAAGTTAAAAATGGACCCACTACTGGTAAATGAAGAAATTGACATTCTTCCACTATTGAGCGAAATCCCTCCATTTGCCGAAAAGGCCTAATTACTCCACCTACTTTCTCATCCGATTGCAAAATCTCATTAAAATCTCCAGTGCATAGCCATGGTAAAGATGAGTTGGAATTAAGAGTTCGAAGTAACTGCCAAGACTCATTACGACGATGTGTCTCGGGTCTACCATAGAAACCCGTAAATCTCCAAGCTGTAGATAAATCCAAACCAACTTGGGCATCAATATGAAATTGTGAAAAAGACAAGATAGAAACATCAATAGAATTAAGCCAAAGAAGTGCTAATCCCCTTGACCGACCTCTACAATCAACAGCCAAGAAAGAATCATAACCCAAACGAACTCTGATACATTCCATTGCATTACTAGTTTTTTTGGTTTCAGACAAAAATAAAATTTGAGGCTTATTACAAGAAATAAAACTAACTAGTTCATAAACTGTCCGAGATTGCCCCAGACCTCGGCAGTTCCAACTCAAGTAATTCATGGCTCTCGGCAAGGATAGGAACTCCCGCCCATCCTCGCCGCTGGTACATCAATGTCATTAACAGCATCAGCCTGCTCGTCATCAGCTACATAGTCTGTCGGTCCTTCCTTAGCAACCCCGCCACCAAAATCCGTCTCATCTTGAAAGCCAGCATTACCTTCTTGCAGCAAATTGGCTTGTTGAGCATCAAAACAAACCCCAGCAGCATCCCTGCCAGCTGAGATTAAATCAGCAGTCCATCCACGAAAGCCATCTGCATTCATCCCAGCCACCGTCTCGGAATCCTTAGTGCTTTTCCATGTCCCTGTCCGATTCCCCTCCGAAGTAGAATTAAAAGAAGTCCTGTTTTGCCCAACCTGAAAATTTTTAGCAGGGCCAAGAGTTTCAAAAGAATATTTCTGGGAAACACGTGCCGTTTTCTTCCATTTTCTTAATTTTCTCGGCTGAACATTAGCTTGAGCCCCAAAAACAAAAGGTGTCGTCGGAGTATATGGCTCTTCAAGTGGAATAAAAGATTCTGCAGGTTGAGATGGAACAAAATTACTTGTATTACCCATCTTATTGCCATTAGGAATCGGGTTATGTCCCAAAACAGAAAGGCCCACTCCTGGAATGTGTCGGCCCAAAACAATCCGCCTCCTAGACCCCAGCCCAACACCCGGGTCTGCCATCGACCATGAATCTGTTGACTCCTCTGAGTCTTCCACAATTTGCTTTTGCTTCAGCGCCTTGGCCACGTTTTGATGATTACTGTTTCTTGCGGTTGGTTCATTAATAACCACCCCTTTTGTGTTGATTCGTGAACCGCCCGGGATAACAGGATCAGCAAAAGCCACGTTCTCCCTTTCCTTGCGGCGAGAAGTTACCTCATCAGCATCCAACTTGTCCTGATTCTGCGATTTGCCCTTCCCGTGAAATTTAGATACAATTTCACACAAGACTTCAACATTGTTAATATCACGCGCCACCGCACGACTCCGATGTAGCATGCTATCCCCATGTTTGCGGAATCCCCGCCGACCCACCATCGAATCTCCAGCCCCCACATTAGAAAAAGAAACCCCATTAGCCAAGCTGAAACAAATCTCCGGTCGGCCAAGTTTATCCGATTTTGTGATTGGAGACTCAGCTTGCAGCTTGCCTTCAAATCTTTTTTCAACACGCCCTATCGTCTTCAGCATCGTCACTGCCACAGGACAGTCATTATCCAAGTGAGTAAGCACCCCACAGACCCTGCAAAAAGAAGGAGTTTTCTCATACCGAATCTCTACTTCGATCTGACCATTAGGGGTGGAAACCTTCATAGTATCCTTTAAAGGAGTTAAGACATTGATCTCTACCCGGATACGAAAATAGCGACCTGTACTCAAATCCACATCTAACACAGTCCCCATTGTTTCCCCAAGAACAACCCCTATCTTCTCCGTCATCATACTTAAGGCAATTTGAAGATACGCACCCAAAAAGGACAGAGATCAAAAGACAGTGTCTCCGGTGCCAGATCAGGATCATATTCACAAAACACCATCAAGGCTCTGTTGAAGCACCAGGGCTGATTTACCAACACCCGATCACGCTCCAGCTCATCTTCAAATTGGAAGAGGAAAACACGTTCTCCCACCTCCAAAACAGTCAAAGTATTCTCCAATTTCCAAGCCTGGAAAAAGGTATTTCGAAGGCCTTCCAGGTTAGGCTGTTTTTTTGAGTATAGCCTACCAAAAAGCCCAAACCAAGGTAACTCACCTCCCGCCTCAGTAAGCAAATCCTCCGCAATCACCACCGTGTTCTCATCCCCTTCCTGCAGAGATAGTTTTGAGCAAAGATTTGACAAAGTGCCAGCCATGATTTGAAAGAGAGAAAGCCAGAAAAAGAAAATTTCATTCCAATGAACGAAAAAAATAGTAGCCAAAAAGCAATAACGACAGTATGTCGTATATCGAAATATATAGGCCTCGATTTGAATTTTAAAAGAATGAATCGGATAAACATTTTGAAAAAAGGAGTGAATCGAAACCAACAGATAAGAAGATCTAATTTGAATGGAATCCTTAAGAGATTGAAAGATATCCAAGGAAGGATACTTCCCCATTGGCAAGGGAAACCTCCACGCCGGAGGGGAAAAAAAGGGGTCCGAAGGGAAAGTCATTCCCATCAGTTGGTCTCTGCTCACTCAAACTCAGAAAAGCTCTTGTTAGGTAAGTAAAATCACCTACAAATCACTTTCTTAGTTCCAAAAAGTTTTGTTAAATTTTGACAACTGTTGGTTAGAGTTGTTTTATATGTATGGTATATATCTAAAGATTGACTTTGACAAGTCAAAATTTTTGTGGGTTTTTTTTTTCTAGAACAATTTTATGACTTTGAAATGACAAATTAATCATTCAATATATTTTTTTTTAAATCATCATTCAATTAAATCTACTATTAATTTTATGTATAATCCCCATTGAGTGCCACTTGGCGGTTTCTTTGACAAGTGTCAATAGTTAATTTTCTAATATTTTGTTTATTATATTTGTATTCATTTAGCTTGGAAAAATTAAAAGACATTCATCCCCTTTTCTGTATAAAATAAATTATCAAATAATTATAAATTAATTATAAATTTGTTATGAATATATATACATGTATGTTGTGCATATCCATGAATCTAATTAAAGCATGGATAAGATTAATGACTTGATTCATTCATACACATAAACATATGTGCTAAGTTCATCTCCTTATATTTATGGTAATGTATCTATGTGTCTATAAATAGGCCACTTACTTTGTTATGGAATAAGATGAATGAGAACAATTTCTCACATTCTTCATATTTTCTTCTTCTCCATATTCTATTGTCTCTCTATTCTCTTGTCTTTTTCATACTTCAATTTTACTCCATTGCTTTATTTTGTTATTATTTCACAACAAAATTTCATTTCTTAACTGAATTTTCTTAAAAAATTTATAAAATAAAACAGCCGCACGCGAAGCGCGGCCGGAAAGTTCTAGTATAATTAAATTAAATAATCAGTTGCAGTATTTTTCAACAAATTAGTTAATTTTCTAGCAAATGATAGTGACTTAGAAGTAAAAGAAGCAGTTGAACGAAATTTTGTTATTAGTATATATTGGCAACTTTTTCCCCAAACAAGAAATGAAGAATTAATGTCATTTATTTTTAGACGAAAACTAGGTTCTCCATGGTAGCCACTGCCCACTTGCATGCAGATGCATGATGAACCACAAAAAATTGTGGGTTTGAACTTTGAACAAAGTCAACAAACAATATCCCATGAGTTATAATTAATAAACCTGATAATTGGCAACTCATGTGGTTAATTAGAGCTTTACTCGATTTGAAAAATCTACATCTAGTGTAAATTCTTTTGTATGCATTGTAAACCATCTTAATTTTTACGTAAACATTCTATGCACGTCGTAAATAATTTTACATTCAACGGAAAAACACCAAATATTATCCAACGTACATGTTAGATGTATCGTAAACAACTTTACATTTATCGTAACTCTTCTTACGTAATATATTTTAAAAATATGAAAACTCAAAAATTAAGACTCACAAGTCACTCAAGTAAAAATAGTACACATTGTAAACTCGAATTCGAATCGACGGTAATGAATCGAATTTGCATATTCATCATCATTTTGATAAGTTATATGATATCCATGGCCAAGAACGACCTTGGAGGTTTCGTTGTCCAGCACACCATTCAAAAGCTATTAGCCCACCTTTTCAGGTGGATTTGATCTAACCCATTTCAAATGATGATGAATTGATTTGATGATATAATAAAGTTTGTTTTAGTAACAATATATATATATATATATATATATATGCCCCCAAATAATATTATTCTAAGCGTAAAGCGTGTAATGTCAGTGAGATTATTATTATCAATTCAAAAGAGGGCATGCAATTGCCATCCAAACTTGACTGGCTGACACTTTCAAAAGCATTTTATATATCAAAGGCCGAATTCAATGTATATTTTATTTATTCATAAGATGAAATGCTAATTTTCAAGATCTTCGATTGCGCACAACTTCTCCTCCTTCTAAAGCAAACCTGAATGTTTCACCAAAAAAAAAAAAGCAAACCTGAATGAAAACTTTTTGAGCACATCTTAATTAAAGCTATATGTATATATTTTGAACATTTAAACATGATAAGCCCTAATTATCCAGAAAATCAAATTAATTCTGACTAATCTGGTTACTACAAGAAATCTAAGAAATAGTAGCAAAAGCTCAATTGCGTCTACAAGAAAATGTCACAAAAAATACTGTATGTGTCTTCAATTATGTCATTTTTTTAACCGAATTACGTTAAGTAAGAAAAATATATGTTTCACTAACTTTTTAATATATTTATTACTCCAATAATTTTCCACTATATATTGTCATTTCTCTTTTCTCTTTATATTGTGTGTCCATTAAATATGAGTGAAGATAATTGTGTATTAATTAGGGGTATAAAAGTAAAAATATAGTATAGGTAGTTAAGAATATTGTACATATAAAAAGGGACTAGAATTTTTTCTAAAAGTGAACATCTAATTAGGGAGATAGGGAGCATAAATTTTCAAGATCTCGAACTGAGATATGCTTTAACTGCAACAAATTGCTTATTACTTGATCTAATCCGGCGTTGGTAAATGACAAAAGGAAAAGAACTATCTGTTTTTTTGCTAACACAGTAACAAAAGTCAATCCATGTCGATTTGAAATTGGATTATCTTAATCACTACCGGACTACTTGATTTCCCCTTCCCCAAAAGCAATAAAAATCTCCTTTCCCATTTTTTCCTCATTCACCAAACAATTACACCTGTACGTTACTACATTTTCAATTTTTTACGTTATTCCTGTTTTCCTAGTTAAATTATTTCTGGACTACTTGATTTCCCCTTCCCCAAAAGAACAATTTTAACCCTGTAATTAACCATCTGATCAGTAGAAATATCATTAATTAAATGACAGAGATGAACGTATGCATGACATTATTGCAGACGAGCTATGGATATATGGGATCTGGGAAGGAAAACGTGTATGTGAAAGCAACAAATCCCATTTCTATAGAATAATGGTTGCTTTCGCCAACGATAACACAGTTGACCTTCAATATTTTTGCATTCAGAATGTCAAAGGCCAATTATATTACGTCTGTAATCCAATAGTATATTGAATTTTTCTTGGTCAAACTCTGATTATTTTGATATGTGACTTGCTTTTTCATATTCAAAAAAATCATCTTTCTTTCCCCCTTTTTAGTACATATCCGACTAAACTAAATTTGTACCTTGAAAATTTTCTTATAAATTCCATCTAATTCTTCTCATTTAGACAAAATAACTGAAAAAATTATAATTGCTATCATGGGGACCTTGAAGCCTTGTGTTGTTTCACTACTTTCTCTTCTTCTACTTTCCATTTCTGTATTTCAGGCAACTTCAGATTCCGTTCAGCAAAACTTTTATCAATGTCTTTTAGACAATTCTCATCCATCTCACCCAATCTCTGCTTCAATCTTCCTTCCTGAAAATCCCTCTTATTCCTCTGTTTTGCAATCTTACATTCGCAATCTTCGATTCAATGAAACTTCAACCCCAAAGCCATTCCTTATTCTCACTGCTCTTCATGAATCCCATATCCAAGCCGCCATTGTTTGTGCTACAAAAGAAAACATTCAAATGAAGATTCGAAGTGGTGGCCATGACTATGATGGCTTATCTTATATTTCCTCTGTTCCATTTTTTATCCTTGACATGTTCAATCTTCGATCTGTTGATGTTGATTTAGCAACTGAAACTGCTTGGGTTCAGACAGGAGCAATTCTTGGTGAACTTTATTACAGAATCAACGAGAAAAGCAAAACACACACATTCCCAGCTGGTGTTTGTCCCACGGTTGGCGTCGGCGGTCACTTCAGTGGCGGTGGCTATGGCGTTTTGATGAGAAAATATGGTCTTTCCGTTGATCATATCATTGATGCTTATTTTATTGATGTTAATGGAAGACTTCATGACAGGAAATCAATGGGCGAAGATGTTTTCTGGGCTATTAGAGGAGGAGGAGCAGCAAGCTTTGGCGTTGTTCTTGCTTACAAAATCGAACTGGTTTCTGTTCCGGAAACCGTCACTGTTTTTTCAGTCGCAAGGACTTTGGAACAAAACGCGACGGAAATTGTCGACCAATGGCAACATGTTGCCGATAAGCTCCCTGGAGAAATCTTTCTCAGGCTTGTTTTGGATGTCGTAAATAAAACAGGAAACAGTAGTGAAAAGACTGTCAGGGGAACATTCATTGCATTTTTCCTAGGAGATTCCAAGAATCTTGTTTCTATCATGAATGAGCGATTTCCAGCATTGGGTTTAACTCAATCGGATTGCATTGAAACAAGTTGGATTCAATCTGTCCTGTTTTGGACCAACATTCCCATTGGGACAGACCCAAATGTTTTGTTGGATCGACCTCCTGCATCCTCGGATTTCCTGAAGAGGAAATCAGATTATGTGACGAAACCAATTCCAAAGGCTGGTCTTGAATGGCTATGGAAGAGAATGATTGAGTTACAAGTGCCAAGAATGGTATTCAATCCATATGGAGGAAAAATGGCTGAAATCCCATCGACAGCAACTCCATTCCCACACAGAGCTGGAAATTTATGGAAGATTCAATACCAAGCGACATGGAGAGAAGCTGGGACTGAAGTAGCAAATCGTAACCTTGGTTTAGTACGGAAACTCCATGGATACATGACTCGTTTTGTGTCCAAGAACCCAAGGCGTGCATTTCTCAATTACAGAGACATTGATATAGGTGTTAACCACAATG